TATATATATAAAAGTTTGGGTATAGGACAAGATAAGTACTAAATTATTTGTACATTAGTTGTTGGTCTATTTTTTTTTTTGTCTAATTTTGTTGATATGAAATTATTGTAAAACTTTAAAACTTTAAGGAAATAATGTCACATTATTAAATTATCAATAAAATAAATTTTAATGAATTGGGCTAATAATTAATAATGAGTCATACTTCGAAATTTATACAAACCTTATTTCGATCAAATTCTAAATACATATTAAATATATTATAAATTGAAATATGTTTTGGTGCTTGCATAATTTTTTTAATTTTAAATCACATTTTTTGTGTTGTAAAATAAGTAATTTTAAATTTTAAATTTTATAAAATATTTTCTTTGATTTTTATTTTCCTAAGCTTTCATTTTAAGTATGTAGAATTTTCTTTTAGAGTTTGTCACATGTTATTAACATGTGATATTACAAACATTAAAGAATGTCAATTGAGATTACCATGTAATTTTTAATTAAAAATAAATATTTAATCTATATCATATTATAATATGAACTAAAAATAATAAGGACTAAAATAAAACTTACTCATTTTATAATGATAAAAACTTATTTAAGCTCATAATATATAAAATTCTAAACCAAATTAAAACCGTCTCAATTATTAATTTTCACTTGTTGTGATATGGTGTTATGTTTTGTTACCTCACTCACATTTGCCTTGTTAAGTAGGTGAGAGGGAGAAGACAAAAAAAATTAAAATACAAAAAATAAAATTTTATTTTTGACCTTCTTTCCGATTTTTTATATTAAACAAATACATTTTCTTATTTTTTATTATTATTATCATGTAATAGGGTTTACCTCCATTTTTAAAAGTAATTTTTTATAAGAAGTAAAAAAAAATGAAATTGGTGAATTAAAATATTATCTCTTTCATAATTGTATGGGTTAGTATCCATCACCTTCTTATTTAAAGTCAAACTAAAATAACATAGTAAGAACCTTTTGTTTGATAATAATAGTGTTATTATTTATAAAAAAAAATTCAAATTTGAAATATAAAATAATAATTTGGAAAAATTATTTCTCTACAATTTTTTTTTTCATATCTTGCTAAATATTAATGTGAATTTAGATTGTGCAATTTTCATGTGCACTTAGTTCCTATTCAAATTTTTTTTTGACATTTCAATATCTACAAGTTTGTTTTTAAACAAATGAATATTTCATTAAAAATAATAATTACATAAAACATAACTTCTATTTTGGGACAATCTTTGTCACATCTCCTTCTTCTTCACATTCTTTTTAGTTAGACTAACATGAAATCTCACAATTTTGCAGCCTCGACATCAAGAGATATATGTTGTTGATCCTACAACTTTCTTTGTCCCAACATTTCTTAAAGCAATTTATGATAATACAGAAGAAAGCATTAGAAGTATAGTGTCTGAGCCTGCTCCAGGCATTTTTACATTTGAGATGTTTCAACCACACTTTTGTGAGTTATTGATATCTGAGGTATTTTATCATTTAAATTATCGGAGAATAAGCAACATGAATAAATAACTTTTTCTTAAGTTAAATTTTGCAGGAGGATGTTTATACATATATTTTGTCTGTGTTGATTTTTTTGGTTTCTCTAGGTTGAAAATTTTGAGAAATGGGTTAATCAAACAAATTTTCAAGTTATTCGTCCCAATACAATGAATAAGTATGGTGCTGTACTCGATGACTTTGGCCTTCAAACCATGCTTAACAAGCTTATGGAAAGTTTTATTTGTCCTTTGTCTAAAGGTGAATGATGTGAACACTATTACTTTATCTAATGGTGATTTGTCCAATTATTACGTTTATGTATTTATTAACAAAAAAGATTAGTCAGTAGTGATCTTCTTCTAAAATTTTCATTTCTAAAGTGTATTTCAGTCAACTAATTATTTGTTATACAGTTTTCTATTCAGAAATTGGTGGATCAACTCTGGATTCTCATCATGGGTTTGTTGTTGAATATGGTAAAAATAAAGACACTGACTTAGGTAAAAGTTATACTTATCCCACGTTTTCTTATGATAGTTTCCAACATTCTCGTTAGATCATCAATATGTTTATCATATATGAGAAGGCTAATTATCTTTAGGGAAAATGAGATTTTGTTATAGGCTATGTGTATATTATTGGACATTCATATACTATAAAAAAAAATTAGTATCTTTATATGTGAATATTGCAATGCCTATATAATTACTGCTAAACAGTTTTTTGGTTGCTAATACTCTTGACATCTTTTTTATATGTGTTGTAATTTGAATCCATAATTTAGTAAAAGCCATAAAATCTTTTTTGGAATTTAAATGCTTCGGTGATACAATATTCCTAAACCATTTTACATACTTCCCTTTATTTGTAGGTTTCCATGTTGATGACTCAGAGGTAACCTTGAATGTTTGCTTGGGTAAACAATTTTCTGGAGGAGAATTATTTTTTCGCGGCATGCGGTGTGAAAAACATTTACGCACAGAAACTCATCCAAAGGTAATTGATGGAGATGTAGAAACATAAAGTAGATTGATATTAGAAAGATTTTGTGTTGCTTAGTTTTTTGATAATAAGCACACATTATTCTACTCTCAAACTATACCATATGATATTTGAACATTGACGAGAATAATGACAAAAAATTTTTAACAAACCAACTCAACTCTTATCATTATAATATGGTAAACAATAGTTAACTTGATGACCGTTTAATTTTATATATATATAGCTGGCTTATAGTGTTTATATTGATTTTTCTTGATTTCTTAGCAGTCATTTAATTGGCCTTTAGAAAATTTAAGCATGTGATACAAAGAGATAATTATGTTAAATTGTTAATTAATATATTTAGTGCTTTTGAAAATTTTCGTATGGTTTCATAGAAGCCATTATTAAAATGGATGGGATGGAAGTAGTTAAAAAAAATAATGTTGTGTTTTTTCATACATACTTACTTAAACAGTATTCATTATTTTTACATTTTTATGGAGTCTATTATTTTAAAGCAGGAAACCTTTGACTATTTCCATGTCCCTGGACGAGCTGTGCTTCATCATGGACGTCACCGCCATGGTGCTAGAGCTACAACATCAGGTCATCGTGTCAATCTACTTTTATGGTGTAGAAGGTACTTTCATTTTTGTTTGCATTAATTCATCACTACTTTTATTTGTTTAATATACCTTTTCATTATATTCTATCTCTGCATATATATATAGGTCCTATGAATCCAAGATATAAGAGGACAAAGAAGGTGCTAGTTTAGTGTAATTAAAATTTTAGAGGATAGTTAACATTTTCTCATTTAAAACAAGCTTCAAAGAAAGATAATAAGTATGATTTGGTTCAATTCTCACTACATGTGTTTTAGGTGAAGAATTACTATTTAAAGGGATAAACATAAAATAATAAGGTTAAATTGTATATTTTTCTCCCTAACCCAAATTCTCCTTTACCTTTTCTACCTTATGCTTCATTTGTTAAGTAATTTTCCTTAATTATATATTAGGGGGAATAAGAGCAATTGTCTCGTATTGAGATTATATACATAACTGTAATATTAACAATAAATGTTATTTTTTCTTATATTTTCCTCACTTGTTTAATTAATTTGAATTTATATTTCTTACTGTAAATTTTATTGATTCTCATCAAACTAATGGTAAATGTTGCTTTATTTTCTGTGCAGTTCTGGTTTTAGAGAGATGATGAAGTATAAAAAAGATTTTTCTACTTGTTGTGCAAAATGTTATCAAGAGAAAAGTAAAAAGATGCTCCAATCAATAGAAGAGGTAAAATCGGTAAATAATACGCATTTTTCATTTTCATGCTTTTCATTTTAAGAACTTGGAATTGGTGTTGTTTATATAGAAGCATATGTTATTTACTTGGTTTCCATCTTCAAACTTGTGATAATATTGACCAATTGTTGCTACTTAGATGTGTTTGGCTTGAAAGTAGGAATAATGAGAATTCATTTTGACAATTTGCAAACATTTCCAAGCCATTATAAAGGGTTTTGTTTATTTGGTTCTTTGAGTTATATATAATTTGTTTAACCCACAAAATAAGTAATTCCAAAGATTATATACCGACCATTTATCTTGTATTTCCCTTTGATTGACGTGTTGTTGAATTTAAGTTCTTTCTTATTATACATATGATTAGAAATGCATGACTGATGTTTTAATTCATAATTTAACTATAATTTATGGTTTGTAGGCATTGTCCAAGAAGGAAGGCAAACAAATTACTTTATCTATTGGTGATAAGCCTAAAGACAAAAGAACTACATCATCATCTGTTGGTGATAAGCGGAAAGGCAAACAAATTGCAGCATCTGTTGGTGATAAGTGTAAAGTCAAGAAAACTGCATCTATTAGTGATAAGTGGAAAGGCAAACAAATTTCATTATCTGATGATGGTGATAAGTGGAAGTGGGGGCTCAAAAAATAAGATAGCAATAACCATTCAGTCCAAACAATGAGTCTTTTATTATTGTTTATCTATGTGCATGCATAAAGGTATTATTGGAGTGAGATAAATTTACTGGTTAGCTTGGATTTTTTTCACCCAAAAATTGTTACTGCTTATTACATGTTATATTATGAATCTCTAATCTTTCATTCATATTGTATTTAGGTGCATGTATGCAACGTGAATGTCATCATTTAATTTTGTTTTTCACAAAGCCTCAACGTCATGGTTATATATTTATATATTTTAATTAATTTCTTGCCAAATCTTGAGGTTTCTTTTTTCCTTTCGGATATGATATTTTTTAAAATAATTTTCAAAATGTTACGAAAATTTTATTATTTCAAAATGTTTTGAAAATTTTATTGTTTCAAGATTATTAATTTAGAAGTGTAAATGTTTGTTTTGTCTTTTCTCCCTTCCGTTAAGTGGTAGTATGTGTTCGATATTATATTTTGTGAACTAATATTATGAATTTAATATTATTTTGTTTCTATGTTCTATATTTTTTTTAACACATCATGATAATATTTGTAGATGGAGTTTATGTTAAGAGAATCTAGTATGATAATATTCTTATGATTGTAAAACTATATTTAAATTATTTATATATATATATTTATTTTATTGGTGTGGCAACTTGTAAGTAATATTTTTTGACAAAACTTGTGGTTTTAAAATATAAAATTTCCGTAGTAGATTCGTATTGTGTTGGGTGACAACTGTAAAGCACACATAAAAGTCCAAACCACCACAACTAAAACTAATGAAAGCACAAATGTTTTGTTTTAATTAATGAAACTATAAGAGTACGTAAAGAAGAAGGATCATGGTATTGGTTGAAATGCATGCGAAGACAGACTCGGAGGACGCGTCGTCGAGCACTCGGTCCCCTCGGCGAGCGGTGTACTACGTGCAAAGCCCCTCCCACGATGGGGAGAAAACGACGACGTCCTTGCACTCCACCCCCGTCCTCAGCCCCATGGGTTCCCCTCCCCACTCCCACTCCTCCTCCAGCCGCTTCTCCGCTTCTCGCAAAATCAACATCAACAACAACCGCTCCCATAACCATAACAAACCTTGGAAGGACATCGACGTCATCGAAGAAGAGGCTCTTCTCCAAATCCAAACCCAACACCGCCACCGCTCCCTCACTCGCCGATACTATTTCCTCGCCTTCCTTCTCGCCTTCTTCCTTCTCTTCTCCTTCTTCTCTCTCATCCTCTGGGCCGCTAGCAGACCCATGAAGCCCACTGTCCTCATCAAGGTTCGCTTCCTCTTCCTCTTCCTCCCTGTCTTTCTTCTCTCTCTAAAATTCTCTATTTTTCTTTCTGGGTCCATCGATCTCGCAGACCATCAAATTCGACCATCTCAGAGTCCAAGCTGGTTCTGATTCCACCGGAGTAGCCACCGACATGATCACCATGAACTCCACCGTCAAATTCACGTATCGCAACACGGGCACATTCTTCGGGGTCCATGTCACATCGACACCTTTCGATCTCTCCTATTCAGAAATCGTAATTGCCACAGGAAATGTGAGTCACACATATATAATATAATGTCATAAATTATGGTATATATATATAGTACGTACATTAATTTGATTATGGGGTGATTTGATTTTTGTGGTTAATTGACTTGATTGTAGTTGAACAAGTTTTATCAGTCAAGGAAGAGTTCGAGATTGGTGAGTGTGGCAGTGATGGGGAACAAGATCCCTTTGTATGGAAGTGGAGCTAGTTTGAGTAGCACAACGGGGATGCCAACGGTGCCCGTGCCTTTGAAATTGAGCTTTGTGATTCGATCTAGGGCTTACGTGCTTGGGAGATTGGTGAAGCCCAAGTACTACAAGAGGGTTGAATGTTCCATCAATTTGGATCCCAAGAAGATCAATGTTCCAGTTTCTCTCAAGAAATCTTGCACGTATGATTCATAATTGATTGCAGCACATGGGATATTTAAATAAAAGTTTATGATTCGTTGCTTTTGTCTTTTGGCTGAAGAAACTAGTGTGGATACAGCTCAGAGGCCAGAGGGCAGAGGGCAGGATTGGAAGGACGCCTTCTTAATTTTGGCTGCACCGAATACCCAACATAATTTAAGACACGTTCGGTTTCTTTTTCTTTTTCTTTTTTTTTTTTGAATAATTTTGTCCCATAATGTAAAAGAAGAAATAATGTTACGTATGTAGTTTGATTTTTCAGGTAATTATACCCGACGACAATTTTGACCATTTCTTTTTGCCCATTAGTTTGTGATCTCTTGTTGGCTAAGTTCCATAACCTCGATTTATTAAAGGACAATTTGCTTGTCTATGTTAGTCGACAATCAAACCATTTGGCTGACTCCTTTGCCAAATTTGGCCTGTCTTTTAGTACATATTATTGCTTCTTTGATTTTATACTGTCTTTTGCGGAGGGTGCTCATTTAAGTTATTTTTAATCGGCTATTATTTAGTGTTAATTTGTTTTACTCTGATCAAACATTTCACACCACATTTAATGTAATTCCTCTCTCATATAGTTTTAATTCCGACGATGATAATGAGAGTTGTAACAACATCAATAAATAGTAATAATTGTCATTACAATCATTATTTCTCTTATTATTATCAGTAACAACAACAATAAATACAATAATTATAACAACAATAATAATAATAATAAGATTTTAAACATTTTTGTTTATTATTTTTAATTTTATCCTAAAAAATATTATAAGTTGTCCTAACACTTTCAAATATTTAATTTCTACAGATATATGAGATATGATTACAAATAAGAGCATTATTTTGTTCTTTGTTTATAATTTTAAGTGTGGTATGTTTTATTTAATGCATAATTGATATTTGTAGAAATCACATTTTCAAGAATATATCTGGAGAAATATTTTAAAAATTGATTCTTTTTAATATTATTAAAAATATTTAAGATTTAAAATAATTAAGATAAAAAAAGGAAAGTTATAAGTAAATTAAAAATCTAGAAATATTATTTTAAAACTCCAAATAAATATGATTCTTATTTCTTAAATTCATATTTGCAGTAATAAGGTTTTAATCCGTGAGTGTATATATCTCTTTATTCCTCACCGCTCACCTCTCTTTCTTATCTGTGTTGCAACTCCAGTCGCTTTGGCTTGTTCGATTAGAAGATTTGGGGGCTTGTATCCACCCACTGCGCATTTAATCGCATCTCATAATCTATTCATCACTTTCTTCTGATTCGGTTCTTATTTCAATTTGTGAACCCCATACTATAGTACCTTTGTACTCCCTTTTTGTATTGTTTTCTCGGAAGGAACATATTTTATATAGCTCAAAGTTTAAAGCTTTAAGTTGTTCACCCCCATTACTGTATAGTGTATAATCAACTATTATCTTCACCTTGTTATAGTTTCTGTTTTTGCTTATGTTATTCTTCTCCTTTTGTTTTATTTTGTCTGGAAAAAAACCGTACAATATTATGAATGACTTTTAACTGTCATAGCTCCCCTATCATTGAAAGAAAAGATGTAATTATTACAATAATAATTAAAAAAATTGTATCAAAGTATTGATGGGGAGCCCGGGATTGAGCAACCGCAATAATGGGCAGCAGCAATGGTTGGGCATAACAGAACCCATCACATTGGGTGGACCCACAGATTATGATGTGATCAAGACACGTGAACTTGAGAAGGTTCTGGTTACTGTGGATTCTATTGTTGTTGTTGAGATTTTACAATTGTTACTGTGCTGAATATGGATTTCTGGATGTTCAGTATTTGCAAGATGCTGGCTTATATGAGAATCAGCAGGAGGCAGTTCGTAGGGAGGAAGTGCTTGGCAGGCTAGACCAGGTTGAATTCCTTTTGTTGATTGCACTTTGTTGAACGGGAATCTAAGAAAATAAAATAAACACACAAAGACAAAATGATTATCTATATATAATGAGGTTCGACAATGTATCTACTTCCTACAAAATTACCCCATTATAAAATATGAGCCATGTACAACACACTTGTTTACTATCCTTGATCCCATACAAAGGAAACTGAGGACGTGCTATTGTAATATGAATTAGATTGTGAAGATTTGGGTCAAAACCATTAGCCGTGCAAAGGGACTTAACCAGCAACTGGTGCAAGAAGCAAATGCCAAGATTTTTACTTCTGGCTCCTATCGACTAGGGGTATGAATTTGCATGCATACTCATACATGTGTGCTTTTTTATTTTTGCATTGCACTTTAAGCTTGGACTGGGGAGGGAGAGAGATAGGATTGTATTGTCATATGGAAAGCTGCTCATGCAGATGATTTATGTTGTATTTATATGTTATTTTATCTCACTAAATGTTCAAAATTGCACCAGAAACTGTAAATATTAGTTATAGTTCCAATATATTTATTACAATTGTATTTTTTTTTGTTTCATTATTTTACCATTTTCATTCTATTTTGTAGGTACATGGCCCTGGAGCAGATATAGACACTCTTTGTGTGGGGCCAAGACATGCATCCAGAGATGTATTATAATTTGTACCATTTTTTTGTTCAAATATAGTTTTCTCAGGTCTTATCTTCCATCAGCTAAACTGTTGTTTGAATTGGCCTTAGGAGGATTTCTTTGGTGAGCTACATAAGATGCTATCCGAGATGCCAGAAGTAACAGAGTTGCACCCTGTGCCTGATGCTCATGTACCAGTAATGAAGTTCATGTTCAACGGTGTTTCTATAGATCTCCTTTATGCAAAATTATCTTTGTGGGTTATTCCTGAAGTAAGTGATTTCTGCAAGATTAATAGGTAGAAGTTGTTTCATTTGGGCACATTTGAAAACAAACCTTGATATAATGATATTGGAAATACTCCTCTATTCCCTACATGTGTTTTGTCTTCATTTTGCTTGAATATAGTTTAGAGCGTACACTGTATTTTACCTTTCATTTGCTTCTTAGTAATATTGGCTGGTGTTTGTGGGACAGGACTTGGATATATCCCAGGAGTCAATATTACAAAATGCAGATGAGCAAACTGTCCGTAGTCTTAATGGTTGTAGAGTGACTGATCAAGTCCTGCGTTTGGTTCCAAATATTCAGGCAGTGCATATAAATATTATAGATAGATAGAGAATTTTTTATGTTCAGCTTTATGTGACTTCCCCCTATCATTGATTGTTTCTGTTTCTGGGGTGCAGAATTTTCGTACAACATTGAGGTGCATGAGGTTTTGGGCAAAGCGTCGTGGAATTTATTCAAATGTATGTCAAAGCTCTTACTCTAGATGACTTGTTTGGTGTTCTTTTTCAGTTTTGGCTTCAACTTCTTCACTGTTACTTCTAATGTTCTGACTTATGTAATTGCTTATTCCTGATATGTTATCGGCAGGTTACAGGTTTTCTTGGTGGTATAAACTGGGCGTTGCTTGTTGCTCGAATATGCCAGCTATTTCCCAATGCACTGCCTAATATGTTAGTGTCTCGATTCTTCAGGGTATATACTCAGTGGCATTGGCCAAATCCAGTAATGCTTTGTGCTATAGAAGAGGGATCATTTGGACTTCAAGTTTGGGATCCCAGAAGATATCCCAAGGATAGATTCCACCTAATGCCGATAATAACTCCTGCTTATCCTTGCATGAATTCTAGCTACAATGTGTCATCAAGTACATTGCGTATTATGACGGAGGAGTTTCAGAGGGGAAATGAAATATGTCAGGTATTATTGTCACCCTTTTTTCCCCCTTTTTTTTGGGGTTTGGTATGATGGGATATGGATGTTCATTGGTCAAGTCCCAAAAAGAGAACTAAACATATACAGAAGCATGCAAGGCAAATTAATGGTCACAACATTAGAAGTAATTAGTAGAGATAAATCCCGTGGGGCTGAATCTCAAATTTTTCAGTCCATAGCCATGATTGAGTCTCCATATACCAAGCCAATCTGCTTTTAGCAGTGTGTGTTTCCAAATCATCCTATATCTTTCTGCACACAGTTATGTATCTGTGATAAGTCTGGTAATATGTTTGCTCTGTTTCCTCAAAGATCGGTCAATACTTAAAAGGTTAGTATAACTTCTTCTAAGTCACATTCTAGAATTAATTTCCTGAATCTGCTACTCCAAGCTTTTTGGTGACCATTGATTGACCCCTATAATTCTGCCATATAAAAGGTACAGTGACCTTTGTGGAGAAAAACCTTCGATCCAGTCTCCCTCAACGCCCCCCCCCCCCCCCCCCCCAAAAGGACCCCA